GAGGCAGGGATTTATCATAGAATCCCAGACTGGTTGGGGTTGGAAGGGACCTTAAAGCTCATCCAGTTCCACCCCCTGCCATGGGCAGGGGACCCCTTCCACTAGAGCAGCTTGCTCCAAGCCCCTGTGTCCAACCTGGCCTTGAACACTGCCAGGGATGGGGCAGCCACAGCTTCTCTGGGCACCCTGTGCCAGCGCCTCAGCACCCTCACAGGGAAGAGCTTCTTCTTAAGATCCTGCCTAATATCTACAGGCATAGATTTATAGACAGCTTGTGCCACTCCTGGGCTTTTGAGCCCCATTGCGAGATGTTTTCCCCCAGGACAGGTATTAGGTGGATATCGGAGCAATTCCAAGTGGTTTTTCCTTACCCAAAATCCTTTTGCTGTCTCTCCCCAGCTGGGTGGCTGGAACATCACAGGTCCATGGGCCGGTGACAACTTCAACGCGACGCTGCGGGAGGTGACGGCGCATTACCGCACCTCACCCTTCTTCTCCGTCTACGTCAGCGCCGACTCCAAAAACTCCAACAGCAACGTGATCCAGGTGGATCAGTCTGGGTTGGGCCTGCCATCACGGGATTACTACCTCAACAAGACAGAGAATGAGAAGGTAAGGTTGTTGGAGGAAAAGTGGATTTGAGGGGAGGTGCCATGGGTGAGTGGCACCCACCATGCTGATCCCCCCCCTGTCCTACGGTGTAGGTGCTTGCTGGGTACCTGAACTACATGGTGCAGCTGGGGATGTTCCTGGGAGGCACTGATGAGGAGTCAACTCGGCAGCAGATGCAGCAGATCTTGGACTTTGAGACAGCATTGGCCAACATCACCATCCCGCAGGAGAAGCACCGTGATGAAGAGGTCATCTACCATAAAATGACAGCTGGAGACCTAAAGGTAGGGGTGGAGTTGGTGAGCATCCCTGCTCCACTGTGGTTTGGGAAGTGGAGGGGATGGGGGCAGGTGACGCAGCTCCTCTGAGGAAGCCTGACACAGCCTGGGAAGCTCTTGTGCAATGGCTTGGCCCATGTCCTCCTTGGGGGAATCCCACCCTGACCTGTTCCTACAGCCTCTGGACCACCCCTGCGGCTGGTGGCCATCCTGCCGTGGCACTGCTGCCTATGGACACCAGCCCGGTCACCTCCCCACATCCCCAGAGGGGCCCTAATGGGTTGTGTCAACATCTCTGACACCTGCCCCACTTTCTTTTCCTTTGTGGAAGGAAATTGTTTACTCCTCTCTGACCTTTTGAGGCTGCTGCTGCTATGGGAACCGGCCTCTTCAAATTCAGTTGAATCCCTCTAATTGGGGCTGATGCAACCGCCTCCAGCTCGGGAAGCAGTTGCCACCCTGCTTTGATGGGTTTTGGGTCTATAGCAGTGCCATGGCTTTTGCAGGAGCTGGCACCAGCCGTGGACTGGATGCCCTTCCTCAGCACGGTGTTCTACCCTGTGGAGCTCAATGAGTCTGAGCCTGTCGTGGTCTATGCCAAGGAGTACCTGGAGCAGGTCTCTGACCTCATCCTGGCCACAGATAAATGGTGAGAGCCCCCAGCCTGCATGGAGAGCACGCAGGGTGGGCAGGAACATCCCAGTGCTCACTCACCACCTCTCGCTGCAGTCTCCTCAACAACTACATGATCTGGAACCTGGTGCGGAAAACCAGCCCCTTCCTCGACCAGCGCTTCCAGGATGCTGAGGAAAAATTCATGGAAGTGATGTATGGGACGAAGAAGGTGAGTGTGGAGCCCCCAGTGCTCCCACATCACCATTAAAATGGTGACAGCTTTGTAAACCAAGCCCTTGTCATGTTGTATTCAAAAGATAGAGGTGTGGGGCAGCTCCAGCACAGGCATGTGGACCTCACCTCTTGGCAGGGCAAGCGGGTGGGAAGGTGAGGGGCTTTGGCTGTGCCACCACTGATGCCCACCTCTGTCCCATGCAGACCTGCCTCCCGCGCTGGAAGTTCTGCATCAGTGACACTGACAACAACCTGGGCTTCGCCCTGGGGGCCATGTTCGTCAAGGCCACCTTTGCCGAGGACAGCAAGCAAGTGGTACGTCCCCCATGTGGGTCCCAGTGCCAGGAAAGCCACCACGATGGTGGAACCACTGGGGCAGATGCTGTTTCTCTATCCACCTTAATTTGTTCACTGTACATCTGCATTTGCTGGGGTTTCATTGGTCCACATTCCATCTCGGCCTCCCAGCCTCTTCCTCCCCACCAGTGCGGAGGGTCCTTGACCTCTCTGAGGTGGGAGGCCAGCTCTGGACCAACACTGCTGCCTTGTTTTGTCCAGGCAGAGGAAATGATTGCAGAGATTAAAACAGCCTTCGAGGAGAGTCTGGAGACCCTGCAGTGGATGGATGAAGAAACAAGGAAATCGGCCAAAGAGAAGGTGAGGCATGGGCAGCAGTTGCAGAAGAGGGTGGTGATGGAGGATGGTGGAGCTGGGCGAGTCTGTCCTTCCACCCCTGGCACCAAAAGCACTTTGGTCCTTGTCACCCCACCAGGCAGATGCCATCTACAACATGATTGGCTACCCCAAGTTCATCATGGACCCCAAGGAGCTGGATAAAGTCTTTAATGATGTGAGTTGGTCGGATATGCCCCTTGGGTCTCCTATTCCCCACTCCACTAGAACCTGCAGGATGTGCCCATCACCGCAGGCCTAGGTTTCATCCTGAAGGGTCTCACTGATGCCCTTGGCCCTTCTCGGGGGGCTTCCTGGAGAGCTGTGCCCCAGCCCTGGGGTGGCTGGGGCTCTCGGGATCCCTGCCTGGGAAGAGGAGGAGCCGGTTTCCGTAATGGTGATTCACTGTCCTCTTGAGACTCCACAGATGTGGGAGAGGAGGAGAAACAAGAGCGGCTGTAACTCAGCTGGCTCTGAAGGCTCAGACATGACCATGGAGGGAGGAGCGGGGCTGGGTGGTCACCACACACTACTCATGCCCTGCTCTCTTGCAGTACGAGGCTGTATCTGACCTCTACTTTGAGAACGTCATGCAGTTTTACAACTTCTCAGCCAGGGTCACCGCTGACCAGCTCCGAAAACCACCGAACCGGGACCAGTAAGTCCTCTGCTCCGCTTCCCTGTTGTGCCCAGCAGGGAATAGCACTAGGATTTGGTGTCCACCAGCCTGTGTTGGTTTGGGGGAGTTAAGTTTGGGCTGATGGCTTTGAATTACGGTAAGTGGATGGTGTTGGAGCAAACATCAGTGATGGGTTTATGCAGCCACGTTGTCCGTGTCCGTGTCTCTACAGGTGGAGCATGACACCACCAACGGTCAATGCGTACTACTCTCCCACCAAGAATGAGATTGTCTTCCCTGCTGGCATCCTCCAGGCCCCGTTTTACACACGTGCATCTCCCAAGTAAGAGCCTATGGAAACCAGGGAGGGCAGGATATTCCCAGATATCCTCTGGTCCCAACATTTGAGGCTCAATTTCAAGGCTGTGGGAAGCAGCAGCTGCTCTCTAAACCTCAGCATCGCCTCCTTGCAGGTCGCTGAATTTCGGTGGGATCGGTGTGGTGGTGGGCCATGAGTTGACACATGCCTTTGATGATCAAGGTACGGCCAGGGCCAGGCAGATGGGCTGCAGGAGGGGTGGCCAGTGAGGTGATGAAGGATCTGTTGTGATTTTGGCAGGCCGGGAATACGACAAGGATGGCAACCTGCGTCCCTGGTGGAAGAACTCCTCGGTGGAGGCCTTCAAGCGTCAGACAGCATGCATGGTGGAGCAGTATGGCAACTACACCATCAATGGAGAGGCTGTCAACGGCAAGCAAACCCTTGGGGAGAACATCGCTGACAACGGGGGCCTAAAGGCTGCCTACAGGGTAGGGCTGTGGGGCTGAGGAGGTGTGTGGGGCATGGTGTGGTGGGATTGGTGATGTCCTCTGAGCCTGCTGTCCTCCAGGCATATCAAAACTGGCTGAAAAAGAATGGGGATGAGGAAACCCTCCCAACGCTTGGCCTCACCAACAACCAGCTCTTCTTCGTTGGCTTCGCACAGGTAGGTCACTTGGTGGTGGGCAGGAGGGGTGGACACATAGGTCTGTGGGGAGTGGAAGCTTGTCCAGATCATGATGGGAGGATGTGATGGCAAAACCCGAGGTCTCTAGAGATGCTGAGCCAGATTAGGGTGAGACAAAGCTGGAGCTCCATCTTCTTGGTGTCCGTCATGGAATCGGGGAGGTCCAGTCTGGCACCAAGCAGGGCCCTATGGATGCAGACACTGGCACTGGTGCCTCTTGCCCTCATTTGCAGGTGTGGTGCTCAGTTCGCACGCCGGAGAGCTCGCACGAGGGGCTCATCACTGACCCCCACAGCCCCTCGCGATTCCGGGTCATCGGCACCGTCTCCAACTCCCAGGAATTTGCGGAGCATTTCAGCTGCCCCCTTGGCTCCCCCATGAATCCCTCCAAGAAATGTGAAGTCTGGTGATGGGCGAGTGCCTGGAGGGAACCGGCTGCTTCATCCGATGGCTGAATTTCCCAGGTCCTTTTGAGAGGCACAAACCACTTCTCCATGCAAGGAACTGCCCAGCTCTCAGCCGCAGCAGCGCCCACATTCCCGGGATCATCCGAGCTTCATTCACTGTGAAACTCCTTCATCCCCTCGCTCGTTTGTGGAATGACTTCCACTTGAGGGTCTCTTCTTCCCCACCATGACTGGGCCATGTGTCCAGGCACGTGTCCATGGGCACTACCCTGTATAGTGCTCCAGCCTGACCCAGCATCCCGGCAAATTCCTCATTTCCGGAGGTGATAAAGGGATCCCATGGCGCCGGCAGGTTTGGCTGCGTGTCTGAATGCACCCGATGGACCTTCCTCTCTCCAAAGATGCGCACATGAGGATGGAAAATATTTTAAGATATATTTTTTGGGGGAGGGGCAAATATCTCTATTTTTTTCATGCCTTGTGGAATACACTGGAAAATTTCAGGGAAAATGCATTTAAAAGCCTTTTTTTGTTGTTTTTTTTTTTTGTTTGTTTGTTTTCTTTTTTAAGTAAAAGATGAGTATATTTATTAATTCTTTTTTACTCAGTGCAGCTGGAGGTGCAGCACCCTGTGGTGACAGTGACTGGGGACAGGCTCTCCGCTGGTGAAGCTGGCTGGGGCTGTGGATGCAACTACCCAGCCCTGGATCCTGGTTTCTCTGGGAGGGACTGTCCTTGGACGATGCTGATGGGGACACTGGGGACAGGGCTGGAGGATGCTGCAGGGCAGAGGCTCTGCTGCAGCTCCTGGGATTAGCTTTCATTTCAGAGGGACAAGCTGGCGTGCCAAAGGTGGCACCGAGGTGGTGACTGTGGGTGAAGCACCCGGAGCGCCCTCCTGTCCCCTCTGAAGTGAGCTCAGCTGTGAGTTCCTGCCCCAAAAGCTTCCCCAGACAAGTGCAGGCGGTTCCTGCTGCTCCTTTGTGCTCTGCTGTGCCCGGCCTCTATACTGGGAAACTGCAAACCCCAAAATCACCCCTTGGCCCCAAACCTCCGTCCTTCCATGGCCGGTTTGGCACTGGGATGGGGGCAAGGGGCTTTTGTAAGGGTTATTTGTAATGTTCTTTTTGCAGTTTTAAGAGGAAACCACTGACAGTAGCTCAGGTGCTGCGTGTTGTCTCGTGGGGCACCTTCTTGCAAAGCTGTAGAGGGATTTTTAATATTTATATGTAAAAGGAAGGATGGGGGGAATTTTTTTGTAACTATTTTTTCACCCTACATGTGGGGCTTATCATTATTGAAATAATAAATACTTTTTACTTGGGCTGGAGCTGCTCATGACTTGTTTTATTTCTGATAGCAGGAGGTTTGCATCCCTTTTTCTGCATTTTAATCCCTGTCCACACCACGGGGACCATCCCATGCTGCCAAAACTGAGCCCAGGAGGCTTTTCCCAGCCTGAGTTTCTGTCTGCTGCTTCTCTTGGAGGCTGAAGTGAAGCTTTTGTGCCCAAAACCCTCACTCTTACTGAGGGTGGTTGTTTGCTTCCCACTTCTATGGCACGGCCCCACGCATCTTCCAGCAGGGAGGTCTTTCCTGGATGCTTTTTTCTTCCTCCTGGGTGAATTTTTGGCTGGCCAGGCTGTGCTTGGATCCAGCGGCACGGGCCCTGTGCAGGTTCCTCTCCAAAGGGCCTTATTTATAGCCCTGCAATGCTGCTGGATGCTGCCAGCTCGGTAACACAGGCCAACATTCATTCCCAAGCAGATGCTCCATGGCTTCATCAGGCTTGCCCCAAAAATGCCAGGCAGAACCTGGACTGCAAGCCCTGTGCTGAGCCTCACCCAGCGCCTGGGGGAGATGATGGCCATAAAACAAGGAAAATCCTGGGTACCCACCTGCTATTTAACCCTGACTCATTATCAAGGACTGGAATTAGGCTGCACCCCCTGGTTTGACCCCATTGGTAATGAGCTTTTGGGGATACAGAGTGGTTTTGCTGCTGGGATGGGCAGGACCGAGCCAGCAGCGAGCTGGGGACGCGAGTGTTGCACAAAGACGACGGTGCCATTTCTCTCATCCTGTTTTACTGTGCTTTCTCTCCCAGATTGAGTCATAAATGGAAGAAGAGCGCTTACTCTCTGCTCGCAGGACTCGGTGTGGGGCCCTCGCTTCCCTGCGGAGCTGAGAGCGCGGCCGTGGCCATTGGATTTCCCTGGGATCCGGCTGGAAATAGCGCTGCAGACCCGCAGAGGGCGGTGGAGCTGAGGGAATCGCTGCCTGCGCTGCTGGCCCCGGGGCTGCAGGGCTCAGCCGCGCTACCGGCGCGGGGGTTCAGCCTGGATCTAGCCTCGGGTGCCCAAAATGAGGTGAAATTCCCGCATTCCTAGGAAGAGAGGAGCGGTGTGGGTGCAAGGTGAAGAGCGATGAAGAAGGGAGAGTAGGGCTGCGGTGAAAGGTGTAGGGAAAGAAGCAGGGAGAAGAGCACAGCCCATGGATCCCATGGAGGATGCTGTTAGAGGTGGTTTAACCATCCAAAAGCGAAATATTTTGGCTCTCTGGCGTGTATTTGTAACGAGACACCAGGCTGGTGGTGTCTTGGCCACCACAGAAGGGACAACCCCAATGCAGGGAGCCTCAGCTTGTGCCGTGGCAGGGGGATGCTGTGGTTAAAGCTGCTTGGGGTGGGCTTGGAGTGCTGGTGTTTGCCTCGGTGGGTGTTTGGCTCTCGGGAGGCAGAGGTGGAGGTGGAGCAGGCAGGAGGTGAATCATCCACTCCCGTGCCAGCTCCTGCCGTGGGCTTGCCCGATCCTGGGTGGTATTTGCTTTACTCCGTGCTCAGCCGTGCCCCGAGGGCAGAGACGTTTGCCGAGGGCTGAGCCCGGGCAGGAGGAGGAACGAGGAACGCTCGGAGCAGGGCTGGCAGTGGGGGTTTGATGTTGTTTTCGGTTTTTGCCTGGAAGGTGTTGGAAGGGGATCAGTGGGGGAAAAGGTGGGAGAAGGCCAAAGAGGGAGGTGCTGCCGTGGAGCTTGCTAGAACCATCAAAATGAGCTGGAAATGGAGCTTGTTCATAGGTTTGGTGGGGCCAAAGCAGCCTTTGAGGGTGCAAGAGGCTGCACCCACCCATGTGTACTGCTCTTCTCGTGGAATCACAGACTTGTGATTGGAAGGGATGTAAACATCACCCATTTCCAACCCCTGGCACGGGCAGGGACACCTTCCACTAGAGCAGCTTGCTCCAAGCCCCTGTGTCCAACCTGGCCCTGAACACTGCCAGGGATGGGGCAGCCACAGCTTCTCTGGGCACCCTGTGCCAGTGCCTCAGCACCCTCACAGGGAAGAGCTTCTGCCTAAGAGCTCATCTCAGTCTCCCCTCTGGCAGGTTAAAGCCATTCCCCTTGGCCTGTCCCTACAGGCCCTTGTCCAAAGCCCCTCTCCAGGTTTCTTGTTGGCCTCTTCAGGTATCAGAAGACTGTTATAAGGTCTCCTTCCCAGTTTGCTCCCTCAACGCAGGATCTAATCCTCAACACATCACAACAGGGCTGGCGTTATCTACTGGGATCATCAGATTTCACGGCCTAAAGCTTCCCTGACCAAACCAGACCTCCCTGAAGGAAAGAGGCCAACAAATGGGAGGTGATGAGCAGGTTTGAGTCTCATCTCACAGCTTGGGCCCTGCTCACTGCAGTGGTTTTCACTCAGAGCCGAGCAGCCATGAGGCTGTGTGTCCTACTTGATCTCAGGACCACAGCTTTGTGCTTTACGCTCTCCTCTTTATCGCAATCGCTGCAGGAAAACAGCCATTTCTCAGCGACACCCCAATCCTTTATTTCCCCCAAGTTCACCAGCAGCTCTGGTGTTCCTACTATGCTCTTTGCCGGATGGTTGAGAGCATCTGTGCTGTGCCCAAGTACCTGAGAGACCGGTGGGACTGGTAAAAGGGCTGGTGATGCTGTGGAACAAGAGTTCAGCGCTGTGAACTCAAGCTGCCCATGGTGACACGTCAGTTCCCAGGTGCTAATAAAGTTAGCAGGAAAAATGGGAGGAAAACTGAAGTGGAGAGGAGCCAGAGGCGGTAGGAAGGGTGTGAATCCAGCTGGCACTTGCTTGGGCTCGCCAAAACTGCAGGTTCTGTTGGCCAAATCATCCTACATGGGGTAGTACAGAACAGAGATGTGTCTGCTTTTCCTTGCAGGAAAAAAATAAGATGGTAAAAAGATGGCTGGGGGAGGATGTAGATTCTGGAGGAGCAGAGCCAGGAGCCTGGCTCCATCGCATGGCTCACGCTTCAGGAGCTTCAGCAGATACCATGCTGAAAATGCTGTTTTTTCCTTTCTAAATTGGCAAAAAGAGGTGATTTCTCTAAAGATCCTGGGCTGGGAGGCTCGGCACAGCTGTGTTTACAGCAGCTATTGCTGTGGAACAGAGGGAGCCATGGATGTCAGTTTGCTCTGGGGTGTACCAGATGTGCCATGCCTGGAAGCTGGTCCACGGAATGGTGCTGGACAATGACACCCCCAGACCACACAAGTTATTATGGCAAAGTCTTTATGAGCTGTGGAGGGGGAATCCATCTTCCCAGCAGGGTGCAGCCAGTTGAGATGTGCTGCAGGGCAGCAGCTCTCCAGGGTGGCTGGAGATCTGTCAGTCCTTGGGCAACCCCCCTACCGGGATGAAAGTTCCTCCTTTGTTCCCCCATTTTTGGGAAGTGGGAGAGCACTTAGGGGTCCTTTCCATTTCTCTCTTCAGTTTTCCTGGTGGGGAAGCAGGCTGCAGAGGGAAACTGGCTTGGGAAAAAATACCTGGAGCCCTCTTTAAATATTTGTTCCTGGCTGCAGATGGAACTAGTGCCCATTCAGGACTTCTTTACAGCCCGGCAAGGCTTTTTACCCTCAAAAAAAAGCGCAACTTACTGCTTTCTATTTCACCCCATTTTCCACACACCATTTGACGTAGATGTGAGCTCACCTCATCCGAGGCATTTCCCTTACCCAAGGGCAGAGCAAAGAGCACAGAAAGGGGAACTAAACAGAATCATAGAACCACAGACTGGTTTGGGTTGGAAGGGACCTTAAAGTTCACCCAGCTCCAACCCCTGCCACGGGCAGGGACCACTTCCACTAGAGCAGCTTGCTCCAAGCCCCTGTGTCCAACCTGGCCTTGAACACTGCCAGGGATGGGGCAGCCACAGCTTCTCTGGGCACCCTGTGCCAGCGCCTCAGCACCCTCCCAGGGAAGAGCTTCTGCCTAAGAGCTCATCTCAGTCTCCCCTCGGGCAGGTTAAAGCCATTCCCCTTGGCCTGTCCCTACAGGCCCTTGTCCAAAGCCCCTCTCACAGGTTTCTTGTAGCCCCTTCAGGCACTGGGAGCTGCTCTAAGGTCTCCCAGCAACCTTCTCCAGGTTAAGCAAGCACACCAGTCATCTTCCTTCTGCCATTGGCTCCACTAATAGCTTCTGGCACTACACAGTGTGCTTGTTTGGTGCTGCTGTACCCTGTAGATAGCACCTTAGTAAGTAAGAAACTATTCATGTCACAGAGCTGCTTTTCCTGGAGGCTGGTGCTTTTCTCCTGAGATCACACCTTGGGGGGTGGTGAACTTTGGTGTACACTGCAGCCCTCGTGTGTGTGCACAGGTGGGTGCCGTGTCCTACACCTGACCCACGCAAACCACACTGGAAAAATTCAAAGTCTGATGCAAAGGGAAAAATGGATTCAAGACCCTGTTACTAATCTGGGTCCTGGGTTTTCTCCAGTGAGTAACAGAGTTCAGACTCTCCTCTTTCTGATTCCAGACTGGTTTGGGCTGAAGAGACCTCAAAGCTCATCCACTCCCAACCCCTGCACAGGCGGGGACCCCTTCCACTAGAGCAGCTTGCTCCAAGCCCCTGCGTCCAACCTGGCCTTGAACACTGCCAGGGATGGGGCAGCCACAGCTTCTCTGGGCATCCTGTGCCAGCGCCTCAGCACCCTCACAGGGAAGAGCTTCTGCCTAAGAGCTCAGCTCAATCTCCCCTGCTTAAGTCTGAACCCATCTCCCCTTGTCCTATTGCTACAGTCCCTGATGAAGAGTCCCTCTGCAGCATCCTTGTAGCCCCCTTCAGACACTGGAAGCTGCTCTGAGGTCTCCATGCAGCTTCTCTTCTCGAGGCTCTATAGCCCCAGTTTTTTTCAGCCTTTGTCTTTTAAAACACAACATTACTTTTCTGTTTGCAGATGGGGCTGTTGGCCAGATGTGAGTAGAGGTGACTCATCAGGTAGGGGTCCTGCACACTACACAAACCCCATCTTTCTTCTGCCAGCTTTCACCTGCAGCACCAGTTCCTTGCCAAGTGCCTGAACACACCACCAAGGGAACTGTTTACTGCAATAAAGGAAGCTTTTCCCTTCGAAGCGTTTATTTGCCATCACTTTAAAGTTATTACCTTCCTCCTAAACCAGCAGCTGCCCAGAACACGCAGGAGCCGGGCCCTGGCTGGTGACCGAGGGTGCCGATACCTGCCCGCGCTGGGAGCGTCTCCCTGGGACGTGCGGCGCTGCAGGAAGGCCGGGAGGTGCCAGGCGGCTGGAATGAGCGCTGCGGAACCAGCGGCGGGGCAGGACAAGTCAGGACAATGCGGCTGCTGCTCGAATCCGCTCTGAGGCCCCTTTTATCTCCCCGAGATGGTACAAACCGCCTTCACCTCGGCCGAGCTCAACCCGGCGGTGGTTGTGAGCGGTGTGAAGGGCTGGAGATGGTGGCGGTGGGGTGCCTGTCACCACAGCGCAGGCCCTGAGGGGCCTCCCTGCGCCATGTCCATTGCCAAGGTGGCTCCTTCACAGCGGACAGGGCCCTTGTGGGAGGCTATGGTGCTGTCCCTGCCAGCCGACCCGGGAGCCTGGCATGTGGCCGGGGGCCGCAGGGCTGGCAATGGGGCCGGGGATGAGGTTTCTGGGCAGTTTAGGGTCCCGGGCCGGCCGTGCAGCGGGCGCTCACACCTCCCAGCCGCCTCGCCTGGAGGCCGCTCCCTCAGAGCCGAGCGTTGCCGAAGTCTCTCCGGACCAAGCCGAAAGCGCCCGAAGCTGCGGCCTCGCCGCTGCCGAAAGGTTCCGAAGAGCCCCGAGCGCCTCCCGGCTGGGCGGGAATTCCTCATCCGAGTCGGTCCGAAGTTTCCCGAAATCCCTCACGCCCCCTGTCTCCGGAAAGAGCCGATATTTCCCGAGCGCTGGGGTCACGGGAGGTGCTGGGCCGAGAGGGGAGGGAGGGGAGAAGGCGGCGCGGTAGAACGCGTGCGCCCGCGAAGGTCTCCGGAAGAAGCCGAGGTTTCCCGAACGCCGCTCGCAAGCGAGCGGTTCCGGAAAGAGCCGAAGGTTGCCGAGCGCCGGTGGGCCGAGCGGCTCCGGAGCGGCCCGAAGGCGCCCGAGCGTCCGTCCTGCCGGACTGCTGGAGGCGGCCGCAGCGCCATGTTTGATGCTCCGCTACTTCAGTGAGGAAAATCCGCCGGCATCGCCCGAGAGCCGCCACCGCGAAGGGCTCCGCTGCCCCCGGGGAGGGGGACCGAGACCCCCCGCCGCCGGCGGCTCATGAGCAGCGCGGCCTGAGCCGCCTCCCCCCCTCCCCTCCCCGCCGGCCCCTCTCCCGTCCCCTCCCCGCGCCGAGCCCTCCGGGAGGCGCGTTGTCACGGAGACCGGCGCCGGTGCCGGCCCGCCGCGCTGCCCCGGCCGCCGTACCGGCCCCCGGCCCGCTCCCCGGCTCCCCCCCGGCCCCGGCCCCGCTCCCCGCCGGGGGGTGGTGGCTCCGCTTGGCGATGAGTTTACCGCAGAAGGCGGCTTTGAAACCCGGCGCGGCGGCGGCGGCGGGGACCGGCCCCGGGAGCGGGGCGGCGGCGGCAGCAGCGGCGGCGGCGGCGGGGCCGCCTCCCCCCCAGGCTCCCCCTCACCCGGCGGCGGCGCCGGCGCCTCACCCCAACATCAGGGCCTTGCCGCCCCAGCCGCCCCAGCAGTATCCTTTGCCCAGGGGGGAGAGGGAGGCGGGGGGCGACAGCCCCTTCCCCACAGCGAGCGGGGCCCGGGGTGGGGGGCTCGGGGCCGCGGGGGCCCCCTCAGCCCCGGGGTGTGTGTGTGTGTGGGGAGGGGGCGTCCCGCGGGGGGTGGCGGTTGGGCATTGCAGAGGGGGGGCTGCACCTGCTGGGGTGGTGCGGGAAAGGGGGTGTCTCACCCCCCCCCCTTTGCTCATGGGCTGCTTTGGGGGTTCACCCCCTTCCCCTGGGGAAGCAGGAGGTCCCTCAGCCCCCTTCCACACCCCCCCCCCCAGTCCGAGCAGCGGTGACCCCCAAGGGTAAACTTACACACCCCTCCTCAGTCGTACCTGCGGTGCTCTCAGGTAAGTGCTTTGGCTCTGTTGTTTTCCAGGCGGGTTTTCCCAGCCGGGGGCCGGTTTTCCTGGGATTCCTTTCTTTTATGGCCATTTTTGTTTTGTCCTCCTCGGCCGGTGCGGATGAGGCGCGGGCAGAGCGTTGTGCTTTGAGAGCGGCTTCACACGCGTGGTGGGGAAGGGAAGGGAAGGAAGGGTCCCGTGGCAAGAACCCCACCGCAGAACGGCCCCTGCTACAAAGAGAGGCCGGCGGCGGCGGCGAGTGTTTCTTAAAGGTCTTTGCTTCGCTGCTGCCACTAGGCCCCAAGTCAGGAGGGAAATACTGCAGGGATCAGCAGGAAAGTGGGGTGAGGTTTTGTTCCCGTCCCGCAGCATCCCCTGGCAAACTGGCTCTTCTCTTCCTGCCCCCCAAACTGGAGGTTTTAATGGTGGTGGTGGTGGGGGGGAAGCGTGAAGTGCAAACCACACTTGGGGGAAAATCTGCTCTTATCCAGGAATGGTGTGGCTGTGTCGGGGCCGGCAGCACCGAAGAGGGTGCTTCGCTGTTGGTCGGTGGCAGCAGCTTGGGTTTTAAGAGGTTGTTTTAGCTGCTGAGGGTTTTTCCAGCCGTGTGAGGATGCCTGTGCTCTTCAAGAACAGTGCTCCCCGTGTGCAAGCGTGTTCTTGCTCTCACTTTCATTTTTGAGGTGGGAAAACCAAGCCCTTCTCTAATCAGTTTAGGTCCATTGTTTTCCCGAGCTTCCGGCAAGAATCGGTCTTGCCATGACAACAAATGCGTTGCTTAAATCATGAGACTGTTGACGTTAGGGATTTGTTTGGGTCAAGTGAAAAGCCTCGCCAAGATTTCGGAGTGCCACGGAGGGACGCGCTCTCTGCCGGGTCCTCTTCTGGAATTCCAGGCTGTGCTTTAGGGGGGAAAGAATGAAGTGGGAAGGTGCTGTCATTGCAGAGTCAGCGGGGTGGTGGTGAGTAAAAGTGTTGCTCAGGGGAAATTTGCTCACTTTTGAGTGATGTGCCAAGTGTTACAGTGGGAATGCCGGCCAGTGAGCCTGTGCTCAGCTGACCTGCCCTGCAAGGTGCTGGTTTGTCTGGAAAGGATCTCTTTTAACAGGGAATGTGACACTTGGGTGCCTTGGCAGTTGCAGTGTGCCTGGCTCTAGGGTCAGGAGTGTGCTGGGCTTTCCAAAGCGCTTGATTTGAAGGAATCGGTAAAAACACTGTGGAGGGACTTGAATCCTTCCCCGTTGTGGTTGGGGGTGAGCTTGGTGGTGGTTTGTGAGAGTGGCTGTGCTGTTGTAGCTCAGACTGGTGGATGCCGTGGCTTTTGGTGGGTGTTGTCACAAGTCGCCTTGCACACGTAAGGGGTGAAGCTGGGGTTTACATCTGAGTGCAGCCTGAAAGTAAAAAAGCTTGGAAGGAGCAGGCGAGACCCCAAAGGAGCTGGAGGTGTTTGGGGACCCAGCTGGACACTCGGAGCAAGAGGTAGAGAGGAACGGAAGAGTACAGGGTAGATGTGAGGAATTGGCATTATAGGGGTGGGGAGGTTAAAATAATAAAGTCTGATATTTATTTCTAGCCATGCCTGTTTGGAAACACACTGTTTGACCCACAGTAAATTTACAACCCCCTGCTCTGTGCCTGTGCTGTGGACAAACCCCTCCATGTGTTCTTGGTGCCTTTTCGGTGTTGGGATGTCCTGGTGAGTTTGAGCCTCCGCTGCAACTCCTGTTGGCTTCCAGGTAGTAAACAAAAGCTGTTACCTCGCAGGAGCGAGCGTGGGGAGCAGAGTTCAGCTCTGATTTACTGGAGTGCAGAGGGTCATCCGAGTTCAGCCGTATTTTTAGCTCTCTTGGGTTTCTTTCTTTTTTTTTTTCCCTTTCTGTTTTGATCCGACTGTTGAGGCAGCAGCGTTCTCCTCCAGCAGACACAGGCAAGTCGCAGGTTGCTTGTGGCGACTCGGAGCGAGCAGAGCACTGCAAGGTCTCCTCTTCACAGCAGCACAAGGGTTTATTTGTTGATGTGAAGGATTACTGTATGTTAATAGGTAGGTTGAGGCTCGGAGTTGGGCTTCCATGTGGTGAACTTTGTGTCTTTGGGAACATGTGTGGGTTTAGTACTTCATACGTCGTGAAATGAAATGTTATCTGTGTAACTGAGGCAAAGAACTGTGTGAGAGGGACCTGTGCGGGAAAAGAGCATGTGCATTTGGGGAAAGGAAAAGAAAAATACAGGGGGAAGAAGGGATTTAAAAAATACATACATTTCTTGAAGGGAAGTGAAGCTGGAGAGTGATGGACATGGAGAACAGAAATGTTTTGATGGGAGTTTCATTGTGTTATGTGCTGAATAGGAAATTAATGGGAGCTGCTGTAAGACAAGACAGAGCTTTGAGAAAATTCCTCAACTCAGTGGCTTCAAGAAGGTAAATTCCCCTTGTAGAAGTAAGTTGGGATAATTCTGTGGCTGTGGGAGTGGTGAGTGTTCAGTTGAACCTGGTTTCAGGCAGGAATTGTGCTCAGAAGTTGTCAGTATAGATGCTGTGACCCTTGTCTGGGGGGGATGAGGAGGGTGTAACTGAAATGACCCACAGAGGGATCTCACCAACAATAAATCCCACCTGCCCACCTCTGCTTTGGCTTTCGGACACCTCTGAGGAAGAAGTTCCAGATGGAGTTGATTGTTCTGTAGTGAGATTTGTTCCATAAAAATGTCAAGGAAGGTCCCTCTGTATTCTTCACTTGGTGCTGCTTGTGACATGTGTGAAACCACGCCGTGTTTCTTTACTCTCCCTCACACTTTCACTTTAAAGGATTTGTGTGTTGCATTAAGCTCGCTCTTTACAAAGTCCCCACATTGGAAATGAATTCTCTGGGTTGGTATAATCAGGTCCCTGGTTTCCTCGCAGCCCTGGCCTGGATGTGGGCAAACATTGGGCTGTGAAGGACAAACTGGTGGACAGGGGTGAGCTCCATGTCTCCTGGCCCTGCAGGGTTAATTTAATGCTCGACCTGGGAGCCAAGTTGGAGCCATCATGGGCTCTGGGCTGGTGTCAGTAGGTTTTTGTTTCCTTTTCCAAACTTCCTTGTGTTTGGAGAGAGTTCAGCTTCCTGGCTGTT